AACCTGAGGAGACATAAATCTCCTGTCACCATTTTTGCAATAACTTCTGGAATTGTTTCTGTCATTGAATAGTTACACTTAAAAACCTCTCATACATCTTGAGCGTCAGTAATTAACTTTTTCTTTCTTTTTTATGATTCCAGGAAAAGATGATTTAAGAGGTTTTGTCTCTTCCAGACTCTGGCTGACAATGTACACATTTGAGGAACAGGGTGATGCATTAGTATTAGAAACCCAGTTTATATTCCAGAGGAAAAATTTGGGCTTTGAGGTGCTGCAGACCTTGCTTGGGGTGCTTTGTCCCCCAGAAGAAGCTGATCAGGATTATACCAATGCTGTAGAGTTGATAACTGAGTTCTCTGGTGTTTATAGTATTTCAGGCAGAGCAACTATTTAATATACTAATAGCAATATTTAATTACATGAGGCCAAAATATGACACAATTATCATACACAGAATATTGGAAATTTTGCAGCTCAAATAATGACTTTTTTTTTTTTTTTTTTTTTTTTTTTTTGTTGGCTTGTTGGCTTGTGTTTACTTTTGTCAAACAAGAGAGATTTTCAGAGCAAGGTTCCCAAATATTCACAGAATCATTATGGTTGGAAAAGGCCTCCAACATCTTCAAGTCCAAACTTGGAGCAAATCCCACCATTCCCATGAAATGTTAAGTGAATATTAATCCCCATCTAGTAGTAAATTGGGGAAGAAAAGGCAGGAAACCACACAGAAGTGAGGAATTCAGGCAAGAATTTTATTTAGAGTTGTTCACTGCAGAGCTCTGAACAAGACCCAGGAGAGGCATTCTGAGATGGGAGAACACAGAGCCAGTGGAAACCTAAATCACTGTCACAAAACTCTTCCCAGGTCTTTTTCTTCCTAAACACTTGAAATGGACTCTTAATTAAAATGCAACAGGATCCCATGTTTCTGAAGGAATGACAAAAGGTGAGCCCTGCTCTGCCAGAGACAGGAGTAACCATGAGGATATGGAGGAATATTTTGTGGAATATTTCCCACCAGTCTGTGGAACTTACAGCCACAAAACCCGACTGGTTTGGGCAGGAAGGGATTTTAAAACTCCCTTCCTTCTAACCCTGCCATGGATGCCTTTCCTTCCACCTGCCCAGGATGATAACAGTGGAATTAATGGGAAATCTTTGAAAGACCAGTGGACTTAGATTTAATTAAGAAACGCATGAACCACAGCAGTGTAGTGCACAGTGTGAAATATAATCATTAATGTAAAGGTTAATAAGTTAATTAGCCACATTTAAGTGTTTAATTCTAATAAATGTTCACCTATTATCTGTGTTGGGAGCCATTTTGTTTCCTCTGTTTACACAGCCTAGGGTTTTCTATGCCAAATTTTCTCTATAGATATGAAATTCCACATGTGACAAACCGGCTTTGGTTAAAACATAATTAAAAATAAAGGAATTATGGCCTTGATTCTAAATCCCACTTTTTATTTCCAACTATAATATATAATTATATCAAGTTGGACTTGAGTGAGGTTTAAGACACATCCTGAAGCAAGCTGTAATAATTAATTTACATGACTGGACTTAGCACAAATCCATCTTGGAATTGCTGTTCTCTTTCTTGCTCCTGGGCAGCAGGAAAATTACACTGAGCAGACCAGCACAAGAGTCCCACTGGCTGTACACAGGCACAGTCTGCCTGGAGAGCCACTAAATATGGTCCTTTGGGCCAGAAAATAAAGCAAAAATAAAGATCTTCAGATTTCTCCAATGAGAACACAAATATATCTGCGAACTTTTGAGTCTGCAAATCATACAAAATATTTTCTTATTTTAGCCAGTGTGCAAGGGGTGTGTTGGAGCTCTCTCTCTCTCTCTCTATATATATATATATATATGTATATCAGTAAAGAAGTGTTATTCCTACCCCCCCATATCTTTGCCTGAGAGCCCCTTAACTTCAAAATTATAATAAATTGGAGGGAGGGGGATTTCTTAGCAGATACCTGTCTTTCAAACCAAATCAGGGTGCTAGGGGGAAGTAAGGTAAATTATTTTCCATGGAAAATTTGTGGGAAATGGCAGTTTGAGTTAGCCCAGGCCTAAATAGGAACACATCCCTTCAACTAAAGAACACATTAACAACATTATTAATGTGATATTTACAATGAATAGATAGATCTGATTGAAGCAGTGTGGATTTCCTCCAAACAAAATGAGAGCAACATGATATTACAGGGGCTGTAATAAAAGGAAAGTTGTTCTTCTTTGTTCAGAATCATCATTTCTGTTTCTCAATTAAAAACCAAGACAACTGCTTTGTAATTCAACTTGTTTACTGTAAAAGTTGAACATCTGGGGACATTGGTAGATTAATATATGCTCCTGCACATGCAATTTACCCAGAAATGTGCCATAAACGGTCTTTATTAGCATTTCTTTTATAAAAATATTGAGGTTTATGTTGGGAATGGCTTTAGTTATTGTTTTATTCCAATATTTTGGACACTCTTTGTAAAGAGATCTATCTACAATTTAGCTGCCAATTCACATTTCTATGCTCTCTTCAGGATATCTATAGCACATCATTCCTCATGGCAGTAAATCCAGTTTCTGGGTGCTTGATGTTGACCTAAACCTATAACAATGGAACAGCAAACCTAATATTCCACTGTGAAAATGCTCTGAGGTGCTCAAATTGGACAGGGTTTGGGACAACCTGGTATAGTGGATGGCACCCCTGTACACAGCAGGGGGTGGAATGGGATGGGCTTTAATGTCCATTTCAAACCATTCTGTATTTCTGTAATTCTATGAAACATTTTCAAATGACCTGAAAACAGTGATATCCCAACATGGATTTGAAGTTGCAGTGTTTTGGCAGAGTTTGTGCCAGACTGGACAGAGTGGGCACACCTTGCCCACCTCATGTACCCTTTAACAAGTCCAGTGAGCTGGCGTTCTGTCCTTTCTGGTCTCATTCTTATTCTCTGGATGTGCAGATCTCAATTTTCTTTCAGCCTTCCTTTCCAGCCTTTCTTTCCTGTCCTTCTGTGCAGTCAGAACAAAGACAAGAACACTAACACCTAAGGAAAAAAGCCACAAATATCTGAGGGATGCAATGGGGACACCAACAACGACAAAATCCCCAGGATTTCTTTATATCACAGGGGTTCATAGAATCCCAGAATGGTTTGTGTTGGAGGCACCTTAAAGCCCATTCAGTCCCATCCTCTGCCATAGGCAAGGACACCTTCCATTAGCCCAGGTTGCCCCAAGCCTTGTCCAGCCTGGCCTTGGACACTTCCAGGGATCCAGGGGCAGCCACAGCTTCTCTGGGCACCCTGTGCCAGGGCCCTCACAGGGGACAATTCTATTCTAATGTCCCACATAAATCTCTCTACTCCTGGTTTAAAACCATTCCCCTTTGCCCTATCACTGTTGGCTCAGGTAAAAATCCCTTTCACTCTGTGGCAGATTTGGTTTGCCAATTTGAGATTTCCTGGCTAATGCACCAATTTGTTGTGGATTTAGTGTTGACCAAATTGCCAGTGCACCCACTGGAATTATTTACTCATTTCCTTCTGTGAGATAGGATTAGGAGGAAGGCAATACAGGCTCAAACTTTAAAGGGTACAAAGCAAAACTTTATTACTAGAAACTACAAGAATAAAAAACAAAACTCAGAATAAAACTTTCAGAACACTTTTTGTCCTCCCACAACTTCTTTTCTTTCACACTGGCAACATATGGTAACAAATCAGTCAGTTTACCATCTCTAAAAATAGTCTTTCACCAATTTACTTGGGAGAGAAGACTTCTCTTTAGTTAATGGAGATTTTTCTCCACAAGAAAGCAGTTTTCTCGTGACCTTGATGTCACAGTGAATCAGCTGCCCTGGAGAATGGAAATCTGATCACTGTGTAAAAATTCCTTCCTCGACTAACATCTTCCCACAACTATTATTGAGGACCATACCAACTTATGTGGCACACTTTAAGGATTATAACAGTTCAAACAAAAGCTCTTTTCATCTTTGAAAACAGAGATCTTTTCTTCTCTTCCCTGGGGGGCAGCAGGGGTCTTCTCTATATTCAAAACTATGGGATCTCAAGCCAACATGTGCTTACTTTAGCACAAATGCCTCTGCTCATATCTACAGTTCAAACATTCACTCACCCCATAATGCATTTCTATGAGTTAGAGGGAAACAATAGTCTCTTCTCCACAGCCTAAAAAAAGAGAAATTTCAGTCCATGACTCTTCTCCTTCCCTCATGTGGGACCTGATTCTTCCTTTTGTCTGACCTCAGTGTTTTCATGCTGTTTCTGTGCATATCTTCATCTTGGTCCTTTTCATTAACTCAGGAGAGAGAACAAAGTGTCTGTAGGTCTCATTCTGGGCCATGAAAGCGTTAGTACCTTGTCTGGGCAGTGACTGGAGCAGTTGGGCTGGAGTATTTCAGGCTGCACTGGGGGCTGGGCCAAGATATCAGGGGCCCAGCGAGAAACGGTGGCGGCTGCTCCGGCTGCATGGCTGTGTTCTGGCTTTGGACTGCATTCAGTTCCACCCATCATCTGATGTTCTTCCCTTCCTCCTGCCCAGCAGGCAAGGGGGGTGCAGGGAGAGACCTTGCTGGAATGGATCCAGCTGTCTCCTTTGCCAGGCCACGCGGGCGCCGCAGCGGGACAGGCGCAGCTCCTGGAGCTGCTCTCCGGAGCAGGGATGTAGCTGAGAGTTAGGGCATTACCCTTCTGCAGTGGCAGTAGTAAGACACACAGCTCCATGGTCATCTTTCAAAACAGGAAAGAGATGAGTTTATTGTAACATACCTTGCTTAAATAGAGCCACTCGTTACCCCAGGGACAGAATCCAGCTGCTGGGTCCTGAGACAATGGCACCTCTTTCACAGGTCTTGTCACGTATCCTGTAGGTGTTTTATCTTTGTTATTAATTCTTCTCTTATGTTTACACTAGAGAAAGGCAGCTAGCTTTGGGAAAAAAAAAAATCCTAGCAGAGCCTAAGAAAATTGGACTGGAAAAACTCTCATAAGAGGTTTTTCTGGGCCTACAGCTATGGTGGGAGCCCTGTGGACCAGTGTCTGGGCAGGGTTTTAATGTCACATAGATGTTTTACCGAGCTGTGGGCTCCCTGGCTGTGCCAGGAGGGGGGCTAGGATCCTAGCAGCCATGTGGGCCTCCCTTCCCCCTTTCTATCAAACACCAGGGGCCCTGGCCATAAATGGGGCCTGATGGGCTTCCCGAGCCCTGTGTCAGAGCCTGCCCGCCCTGCCCAGCCCAGCCCGGGCCACGCAGAGGGATTGGGCCAGTGTTATCTTCTGAGAGGCTGGAAACCAAAAAAGGGCTCCTGGGGTTCACTTTCAGTGTCCATCTCTTTCAGTGGTTTAACCATTGCCAGTTCTCAAAACCAGTCACTGATTGGCTTTTGTCAGACATAGAGGAAGCCTAGCTCCTCCTCTCAGAAAAAATCACTTCCATGGGTTATCTTCTGTGCCAAACCAGCATACACTGTTCTTTATAAACCCCTGTAAGAGCTGAAACAAGGGATGCAGGGCTCCAGGTGGCTCTTTAAAATGCTGTTTATTTCATCTAAATGATACAGCAATTCACAGGTCATGGGTGACAAGAGCCCAGCTCACAGCCTTTTCAGCCACAGCTGTGGGTTTGTCTGAAGCCAACTCTAGTTCTGGTTACAATGCATTATATACTTTTCTTTGCAGAGCATCTTAAAACATGACAACCAATCAATACCTTTATTATTACCTATAGCTTATCATAACTACTAACATTACCATATTCATGTTACTATTTCCCAATCACAAAAAGTTAGTATGTTACAGTTTAAGCTAGAAGTTGTTTTCCAGTTTTCTGGCAATGGAAAATTTTGAGATCTTTTCTCTACTTGCAACATTGGCTTTCTTGTTTGCCTGTGAAAATCTTTTTGCTTGGTAAAAACATCTTTTCTTTGAGGTGGATTTATCCTTTGCTCTAAGCCATAAAAACCCCTTCCAACTCACATGCTAACATACACTTTGCCTTCTAGTTACCCAGTCAGACTGGCTCAGCAATTCTTTTTTTCTATATCAAAACTTGCTATCATTTCTTTTCCTTCTTCAGATTCTACATTCAAAGATCTTTCTGTTATTCATGCATATCTGTGAGACCTTATTGTCAAATCTTTATCCTTCCCAACAAACCCTGTTTAGGCACTGGAAGGGGCTCTGAGTTCTCTTCATAACCTTCTCTTCTCCAGGTGAACACCCACAGCTCTCCCAGCCTGGCTCCAGAGAAGAGGGGCTCTAGCTCTCAGAGGATCTGTGTGAATCCCCTCTGGACTTGATCCCAAAGATCCACATCCTTCCTGAGCAAAAGCAAAGTCTGGTTCCAGCTCTAAAACATAATGAAATCCTACTGCCCTGTGACATAAATAAGACCAGGACACACTCCATCCTTTTGCGGATCTTTTTCCACTCTTTTCTCACTGTCAGTCCCTGTGTAAATGCCCCTTTGATCTGTGTTTTCTCTATCATCCCACCATCCTTTAATTACCTGGCACCACTTCCCAGCTCACTCAAATGATGTGGTTGAGGTCAGTCCCCGAACACCAGAAGGACCCTGCTGCACTGGGGACAGCAGTACTCAAGATCCCTTCAGAACTGAACTCCTGCTTCCCTCCCTTCAAAGCAGGGATCACGTCAGGCCTCTCCCAGAGCTGTTTCAGCTCCAGAACAGGACTTTACACAGACAACAGGCCTTTGACTGCCCCTCTGATGCTTTTGATTTGACTTTAAAGCATGTCAGCATCAAAGTCACCAAGGAAAGATGACAGGAAATAGAACTTTAATCTTTCATAATGCTGGTGCGTAAAAATGTTACAACTCTACTAAGGAGCAGCCTGCTAGCCAATCTTTTGGACAATAAATGTGAATATTTTGGAAGGATGCTTTCCAAGTTGAAAAGTCTCTGTCATGCATTCCTCCCTTCTCTCCCTACTTCTGGCAGCCCAATTTCTCAGTGGTTCAGTCTTGTTGGAGACCTAGGTCGCATTTTGGGAAATAACTCTCTTTACCAATTTTCCAGCAAGAAATACTTTGATCAAAACAAAAAGCAAAACTTGGAACTTCCACTAGCCTGTTTCTTGAGTTGTAGTAGAGTGAATCCAGAATTCTTCTAGAGTATTATCTTCTACACATTTGGCTAAATTCAGTTAAACATAAACTAGGCTAAGAATTAGAGGAGCTTCCATTGCCTGGAGAGGTGGAGAATTATCTATGATATACCCAGGGCTTGCTTTAAGCAATTCATCCCCATTAATTGCTGATATCAGATATCTGCAATGAATTGTGAATGACATGCTCTGGATGAATGATGTTCAATCCAAACAAGACTATTAACGTGCCATTCCCAAAGGATTAACACTCCAGCAGTGAATCACTCAGATATTGCTGGATATATTGCTTTCAGAGAACTGTATTAACTGAGAAGGGTGTGTATTAATGAAAGTCCTTTGGAATAGATTTCCTTTTAAATTGTAGGGCATGTTTTATCTGAGTGGATAGCTAAGATAGTGGAAAGTGGACTGGAAAGTGGCTGAGTATTAGGGGATTAATTTTCATTTATATTATTAAAAAAGAAATTCTTTCTTCTTACTGGTAAGTTGTCACCAGATATGTTATATTCAGAGTTCCAATTCACAGGGTTAAGATGTAAAAGGAGATGTTTTAGAGAACAAGGGTGGAAGAATAAGAATGTCTCAGAGCTGAGAATACAATAAAAATCAGTTATATTTGTGGAGGTTTATTCTGTACAAAACATGGGAACAAAATGGTCCTTTTCAACCTGATTTTACAAGAAAATGGAATGCTTACATGTGTTTGCTTGCCATTTCCCTAAAACTCTTAACCTTACTGGCCATTTTTACTCAAATTTAGCAATAGGAAAAACACTACAAAGACATTTAAGTTAACAAAACGTGCGTAAAAATATATAGATGGATAGAAGACAAACCTCTGTTAATGTATCTCAGTAAAGCACTGCTTCAGAGTCTCATTCCATGAGAGGCAGGATATAATCTGCTCAACACCCAGGGAAGAGCTGTGTGACTCTGTGGCTCAGGAATCATCTGCTTTTACATTTTGGTCCCAGTACATCCAAAATTAACGATGTCCTAAGTCTAAAAATCTCTTAGACTTTGTACCTCCATTTCTGCAGAGCTCTTCTCCTACCCAGACACCCGAGATGAAGAATAATTTGCAGGAAGTAGTGCTTTGTTTGCACAACACCACAAGTCAAGCCAGAAACACTTTCCTACCACCCACCATCTATTCCTGCCAATTTTTTGTTGCTCCTCATGACAGTTAAATTTGCAATTTGATTAATTACTTCTTCCAGAAAAGAAAGGCAAGTAATTGGACAAATAGAGTGAAGTAGATCAAAATACTTTTAAAGTTGTTAATGCAGTAATAAAGTGTCATGAAAAATATGACAGAATGAGGCATCTCTAAAAATATCCCCTTTAAACTGAAGGTTTCTCTCTTTTTCTGCACTTTTCCTGGAACAAGGCAGCCAGGTCTTTGCTAAATGCACAAAAGTGCATGTTAGATATTCCTCTGGCTTAAATTATGGAGCTGGTCTTAAAAGTGAAGCTTGGTGTTCACCTGTAGGTTCGTGGTCATAAAGCACAGCAAGGCCAGTTCAAAAAACTGGCCTTAGTTGTGACTCACAAACATCACTCTTGGTGCTGAGTTGATAATTGAGATAGTTATTTTCCAGGATGTGCACCAGCAGCTGGGGGCTATAACCCAGAGAAATCCTCTTTGAATCACTCATTATTTTTCAGTAATTGACTAATTTTATCACTTATACTTGTCTTATAAAAACCCTGGTGGTAACCCAATGCCCTAAAGGAATTGAGATATATCTCCTCTGTCAGTCTTAAAACTCTTTCCTTAAAGGCTTTATGAAAAAAATATTCCATAAAGCTGCATTTTAAGTTTTTGTCAAGACACAAGTTGGCATAAGCCACTGATCACCCTAACAAGACTTAAGTATATGAAAACTTGCAAATGGACTTGAACCAGCCTGGAACTCTGTTTTTGACGTGGCCAGAATGTTTTTATAGAGATTATCAATTAAGTGGCACAATTTAAAATGCAGAGAAATTTTTGGAAGGGATCAGTATTGCTCATGATGATGTCTTGATGCCTGGCTGGCACTCCTATACCCGTTAAAGACACAGCTCTACAGCCTTTACAGGAAAGGATTTCCACAGGTGGAAATGTAAAGAGAGATTGATCTACCTTGCTTGAAACTGAGAATTGGAGATCAAAAACTCAGTCTCTTGTGTAACTAATCTAGGCATTCTTTAAAAAGCAACAGCTCTTTCAAAATTGTTACATAATATTGCTGATTTTCATGTACCAGCCCTTGTTTTGAAGTGCTAAAGGAGATTTCAAATTTCTTCTGCAAATGCTTCTGTCTGTGTTGTCAGAACTGTAGAAGCATCCAGGTATTTAACTGAATTGCCTGAAGTTATGAGGGATGAATGTGGACTTTGGGATTTCATGGAAGAAACACCCAGAGCTGACATACTTTGAGATCTGACATCTCTAACAAAATACCTGAGTAACTGAGTTTGGAAGACACCTGTGAAGGTCACCCTGTGCAATTGTCCTGCTCAGACCCAGGGATAGTAAGCTGGGTATTTCTAAGGGTCGAGACTCCATAATCTTTCTGGCCAGCCAGTTCCAGGATTTGATCATTTTCAAAGTGGAAAACTTCTCTGTTCAAGTGGAATTTCCTGGGTTTCAGTTTGTGTGTTTCACAGAATCAGAACCACAGAATATCCTGAGCTGGAAGGGACCCACCAGGATCATGGAGTCCAAATCCCTTCCAGAAGTTTTTTCCTTGTAGTTATCACAGAATATCAAATAAAAGATTAAAACGATCATATGGAAGTCACAGAAATCTGTTGTTACACCACATTGGCTGTAGCTATGGCAGCACAATAATATGCAAAGAAACTTTTCGTGAATTTGTTATGGTTATTATTACT